TGTTAAAAAATGTTGAAACAAAAGGGCTTTTAGTTTGTCAAGTAATTGCTGAACTTCAATTTCAAATGTCATGTTCAGAATGGGTTTTGTAATTGCGCAATTTAAAATTGCATATTCAAGTTTATATCCTTTCTTCACTAGTTTGTATTTGAAAATCTTTGTACGTATAGATCTTTGTATCTCCATATAAAAGACAGATTGCATGTGAGAGAGGGTGTTGTTTGGCCTATTTGTTAACAACTAAAGCTTTTGGAACTAGTGGTGATAGAACACATTTTTGAATTCTTGCATCCAGACCTTGATTCCTATTTTTTGGTTAGATGTGTTATTTTTTAAGCCAAACAGCTCTTTAATGGTTCTAGTCTAGTCCCAAAGATGACAAACTGGCTTATTATCATCCATTGGTTTCATTTACAGTCCTGGAACAACGTTGAAATTGTCTTTTCAATGTTTAATATTTTTTTTCTAGTGTTTGATTGCTAGCTGGTGAAGAGACCTATATTTCTCCCTACAGGGCTCACGTTTGTTGATGAGTAGGGAGCAACTAATAAATCTCTGAATTTTAATTTTAAATGTCATTTTCAGAATGTGTTTTGTAATTGCGCAACTTAAAATTGCATTTTGAAAATGCGGGTTTATGTTGAAAATATAATTTAACTTGTCACATCAGAGCAATAGAAGCATTGTCAACTTGAAATTGCATTTTCAACATGTGATTTTAACTTACCACATCAGCGCGTCGTTGGCCATGTCGACTTGAAATCGCATTTTGAACATGCAATTGCATGTTCAAAATGCGATTTCAAAAGTGGGTTAGTTTTTCAAATAGTTTGAAAAGTGGGTCAATTCTCTAATTTTTTTTTTAAGAATATTCAAAAAAAGAAAAAAATCCATGATAAAATGAATTTTTTTTCTTTCTTATAGAGTCTAAGTTCTCTATTGTTGATTTGTACAATAAGTTAAAAAATAAGTTTTTAATTGGTCAATAAATTGTGAACAAAATTAAACATAAGATTTAAGATAAACAAATACATGGATAATTTTGTCAAAGAGATGCTTTGCATAGACTGAGAAAACAAAACTCTAAAGCATACTCTGTGTTCACTTCACAAATATATATTGATTAAAAACTTATGGACGGAGTTGGGTTGGGTGTTGAAGAAAGTGGGCTAGATGGATGTTCAACTGGGTTGGGTGTTCAGAAAAGTAACTGGATTGGGTGTTCAGAAAAGTATGTTAGAGTGATCAACATAGAACTTTGTGCTAAATTACACACACACATATATATAATATTAAAAAAAAATAAAAATCAAGGTGTTCACCCTAGACTGTATAGTCCCCTCTGGGTGTATTTGTAATTTAACCAATAATAAAACATTCGTACTTGTGTCATTCCAATGCCTAACAACGTACGTAGATATTTATGGTGTGAAAGAAAAATGTTAAGACCAACTCTTCAACAACTTATTTATAGGAAGTTTTCTGTGAGCTTAGCACAATAGTCATTTTGGTCGAGTAAATATTAAATATTAATAATTTTTTAGAATATGTTTTTATGTTTAGAAAAAAAAATGATAGATGTGATTCTGAATGTTAACCTGAATATAAATATAATCTAATTAAAATGCTATCAATATTAATCAACTTAATAAATTTAAAAAATAAACAATTTAAATTATCGAGATAAGACTCAAACTGAGTCCCAACAAATGCACAACCGTGATTGTTGTGCCAAGAGGCAGATTTACATAGGGACAGGAGGTAGCCATGGCCCCCCAAGTTTATCAAAATTATACTATTACCTATATTTCATTATTATTTGTAAAATTTGTAAAAGATAGCTTCTAATTTTATGAAAATTACTTTAGTAACTCTCTATTTTATTAATATTTCACAAATATATAATGAGATGATTTCTAATTGTTTCACATGTAAGTTAATAATATCAATTTTATTTATACAAGAGGTACATATTATATTTTTTATTTAAAAAATCAAAGAGGTATTTATTTGTTTATTTACTAGATAATGTTAATAAACAAAATGACTTAAAACGGTGATCTAATTGATCATTTACTGAGATCTAATTACTAATTCAAAATTTTAGAAAAGAATTAAAAAAATGATAGATCAAATTTATTTATTTTATTAAATATTTCTTTCAGAAAACTCTTAGATAAAAAATGATCTTCAGTTAATAATGTATTAAAAATTAACTCAATTTTTATTTTTTTAAATTTTTTTTACCCGCATTTTGGCCCTCTCGATGAAATTTCTAGCTCAGGCTGTGCCAAGTTTATAGGAGCCACCCCATTTCCTTATTTATATGGTTACTTATTAGGCATTTTAGCTTGTTAAAATATAATTATAAATTTGTGCTTCAACAAATTTAAAGAAGAAGTTTGAAATTGACTCTTCTTCTTCTTTCTTTCTTTTTTTTTTACTCTTCTTCTTCTTTTTTTTTTTTTTTTTTTTTTTTTTTTTTTTTTTTTTTCTGTATTTTAAATTTTTTGACGTTTTAGGAGTTAAAAAAATTATTATGTTTGACAAAGTATTAAAAAAATTGCTTTTGTGAGTGAAAAAGTTGAGTTATTTTTTTAACATTTTTAACTAGTTTTTTTTAAAAAACTTTTAAACTTATTTAACTGATTTTATTTATTTATTTATTTTTTTAAAAAAAGAAAAAACTGCACCCCAAACATCTCCCAAGTGACATGTCATTCATTATACCTCATCCATAAGGAAGCTAATAGCTATAATTAGAGAGCTCATAGAAACTAGACAAAGACATTATCTTTTACCTAGTAAGATGAATTTAACCATTTACCATTGCACATGACTGCGTGGCATGACGTAAAAAATGTTACATGTTTTATTTTGTACATATAACATTTTTCTTTTGAAAATTGATTTAACTATAAATGACCTTGTTAGAGTACACACTAGTAAGAGCATATCCAATGAATTGACCAAAAATCGGTGTTAAAATATGTTACATGACCGAAAAGTGACAAAATTTTGTGTGTTTAACGTTTGTTAATTTAAAGAGTGAGTGTGTGTTATGATCTTATCATTAAAGTATTATATAAGAGTGAGATCCATTTAAATGTATATTTATATTAACTAAAACAATTAAAAAATAAAAAGAATTATTAAACTTGCTTTACATTGTCCCTTTAGCTACTCAAAACTTGATTAATATACTTGAAAGGCTCCTCCACTCATAATATGCCCGCTCTATTATCGCTTCCACATACTATTTTGGCTGAATTCTAATACTTTCACTAAAAAATATATTGGAAATGCTCTAAAATGATTAGATAAAATAAAAATATATATTTGTGTGTGTGTGTGTGATTTTACAAGAAAAATATCTCACATTGTTGGGAATTGCTATTCATCTCATCAATGGATATGGACCTAAATAGGTATTTTGTCATACTATAATGGCGTGAGATAATGTTGTTCTTTGGCTCTTTGCCCTCCGTGGGCCAAATATCAATGTCAAAAGTCCCTCCGAACATTATTGCAAGAGATTCAACTTCTAAACTTTAGTCTTTTTGGAGGATATATTTGGGTAGAAATATTTTTTTAAAAAAGAGTGAAAGTGCGTAAAATGTTATTATAATTAATTTACATTTTACCTATCTTTTTGTATCTAAAATCATGTCCCAAATACAACCTTGATAAATCAATCTTTAAATATAAATTTCTCAAACCCAAATCTAATGGTTGAAGAGTAACATTCTATACATAGTATGTCAAACAAGGGTGATTATTCAGTCCTCCTGGAGTATGGACATGTGGTATTCCATAATGTTTTGATTGGTGAAGAGATGCGAGGGCCCACGATTTATGTTGGGGATGGATGAACAACATAGAAGTAAATAATTGGTGATTGGCTTGGAGTATCAACACGTGGTGATCTGTGGTGATCCGGGAGTATTGAATAATTTTCCGTCAAACAATGTTGTCAAATGTACATCCCAAACATGACCCAAGTGATTTAACCAAACAAACAGTGTATTCCAAACTGAATGCATGCGACATTAAAAATAAAAAATAAAACTATTTACAACTCCGATTTATATGGAATCTAGTATCACCATCAACGGTCACGATGAATCATGATCAGCCAGTTCAATTAAAGTGAGGCCCATAACCTTTCCCTTTCACGAGAAGGTGTGTGCCGAGCAAGGATCTTCTAGAATTTTTTTTTCTTAAAATTTTCTAGAGTGGTGTATTGTGTGATTGAGATTTAATGATAAGTCATATCAATTTTTTAACATTAAATCTCAACCACACAATACACCACTTTAGAAAACTTTAGGAAAAAAACACTCTAGAAGATCTTTGGTGAGTGTGTGCCACCTAAGTAAGACGTTGAGAGCATTTCTATTGAGTTAGTCGACTGTGATTGATTAAAATTATTGATAACATGGTGGTGACTGTGGGACACAAAAAAAATATAAACACTAATTTGAGGACTCAAAATTTTTTTAAATGGTTTTCCTCCTTTTCAAATTGTGACAATTGATTCCGTGTATAAGGGGAGTTGTTAATAAACGAACTTGTATATAAGATAGAAACAAATTATTCACTATTGAAAGATTATTGTTCCCAAAATTTTCTATTTCTTTTTTCTTTTTGATTTTTTATAATCTTAACCACTGAATTATATAAATTTCAAAAACACTCATCTCTCTCTCCTCTCCCCCTCTCTCTTCAGAGTGGTATAAAAAGTTATTATGAGGGTGATTCCGTGAACAGGTGTGAGTCCTTATCTTTGAAAGCTCAACCAGCCAATAAAATCTCTGATTATCACAAGTTCATGAAAGCCCACCCAACCAACCAACCATCAAAACGTAGAAAACATTTTATTTATTTATTTATTTTATTTCAAGTATAATCTGCACGTGAAACCCCAATAATTTCTCATGCAACAGTGGGTCCTCTATAGCCAGCCCCCTCTCTTTTGTTCTCATGCCAAACTCCAACTCCCAAGAATCTCTCCTTCCCTTCCCTCTCTCTCTCTCTCTCTCTCTCTCTCTCTATGCTACTCCTTTTCTCTCTTTCTCTGTAACCCATTTCATATCTTTCTTCACTATCCTCTACAATGGTAGAATCAACCTCTCTCTTGCCATTGATGCTCTCACTTCTTCTCCTAATTGAGCTCAGTGTTGGTAATTTTGTAGAGAAGAAGAATGTACTCTCACTGCACACATTACAGTGGAATCAGCACAGTGACAATGGCATTCCAAGTTGCTCTTCTCAGAAATCAAGTGAGTCTTAGCTAAAAAGAAAAGAGAGTTCAAAAGCTTGTCTTACTATAGCCCCGTTAAGCTTGGCTTTAGCTTTATTTATTGATTAATTATAGCTCTCTTTACTTTGGGATCTGTTATCTATAACTGCTTTTTGTGCTTTATGCTAATTAATTCTCTTTTCTCTCACACACACATAGATTTACAGTCAATTAGAGTGGGGACTTTCTTTAGTAACATAAACCTTATCTTGTCTTCACTTTGTTCCACATTGTGGTTTGTGTTATCTAATGTTGGCATATGTGATTTAATTGGCTCCAATTCTACATAAGTTGTGTTGTTTTAATTCCTTTTAAGTCAAGGATACCCAGAAGATATAGAACAATACTACGGACCCATAATCCGTGCATAAAATGATATCCAAAAACAGTAAGTGTGAAATTCAATTTAGTCCACACATTGTTTTCTTGGATAAATTTTGATGTATGAGTTCTGGGTCCATACTTTTATTGTTGATTTTTATTTTTTATTTTTCATGAACACGATTTTCTCCTGTTAGTTGATGGTCCAGTTGAGTAAAGCTGTCGCTGGACTGAATCGACTATCCAAATTGGCGAGAAGTTGAATCATTTTTCTTTATATGTTGTTGTTTTTTTTTTTCCCCCCTTGAAGTTAATGATAAATCGCTGCAAAAATATCAATTATTGTTATTAGATATACTGCTCACAAACTTAAACTGAGTTTCACATTTTGTGTGAAATTTTAGGGAGAGAGAATGGTGCCACTATATTGGAAATGAAGCACAGGGACTACTGTTCTGGACCCATAAAAAACTGGAATGAAAAGCTTCAGAAACGTTTAATTTCTGATGATCTTCGTGTCCGATCACTACAATCCCAGATCAAAAACACATTCTCTACACAAATCCAAGACCTCCCACAGACTCAAATCCCTCTAACTTCAGGAATCAAACTCCAGACTCTAAACTACATTGTCACAGTTGAATTAGGCGGTCGAAACATGACAGTGATTGTGGACACAGGAAGTGACTTGACATGGGTTCAATGCCAACCTTGCAAATCATGTTACAATCAACAAGAACCTCTCTTCAACCCTTCCACATCTCCTTCATACCAATCTGTCCAATGTAACTCCTCAAGTTGCCAGTCTCTCCAATTCGCCACGGGCAATTCAGGACACTGTGGAACCAACCCACCAACCTGTGACTATGTAGTTAGTTACGGTGATGGCTCGTACACAGGCGGTGATCTAGCTCGTGACCGGCTCAATCTTGGGACCACCCCAATGGACAATTTTGTGTTTGGGTGTGGAAGAAACAATAGGGGTCTATTTGGGGGAGCTTCAGGGCTAATGGGTCTTGGAAGGAGTGATCTCTCACTGGTTTCTCAAACTTCTGGCCTTTTTGGGGGTGTTTTTTCGTACTGTCTGCCTTCTACTGATGATCAGGCCTCAGGTTCTCTAATTTTAGGTGGCAATTCGTCGGTTTACAAGAATTCAACACCAATTTCTTCCACTAGAATGGTCCCAAATCCACAGCTCTCCAATTTCTACTTTCTCAACCTCACTGGAATTAGTATTGGTGGCGTAGCGTTAAAAGCTCCAAGTTTTGGCAATGGTGGAATACTGATTGATTCAGGCACGGTCATCACGAGGCTTCCACCATCGATTTACAGTGCTTTGAAAGCTGAGTTTGTGAAACAGTTTTCTGGGTTTCCTACAGCCCCGGGGTTTTCAATCTTGGACACTTGTTTTAACCTTTCTGGATTTCAAGAAGTGAACATTCCTACAATAGTGATGCAATTTGAAGGGAATGCTGAGCTGAGTGTGGATGTTATGGGGATTTTTTATATTGTCAAGACCGATGCTTCGCAGGTCTGTTTGGCACTCGCGAGCTTGGTATACGAAGATGACACTGCAATTATTGGGAATTTTCAGCAAAGAAACACTAGGGTTGTGTATGATACTAAGGAATCTAAGTTAGGATTCGCGAAAGAGACTTGCAGTTTCATATGAAAAAGATCAGAAGCATCATTGAGTGTTTTGTTGTGAATATAATCTATTTGATTGAATCCAAGCCAAGTGGCCCGTTGGCAAGCATAATAGATGTAGGTCTTGCAAGATGTAATTTAATTTGTCTTTTAAAATCATATATAGATTTCTATATTATCTGTTGGGGGATGGTATAGAACATATCAATGCAATTTGTGATTTTCTTCAGTGTTTATTTGTAACAAATGGAATTGTATTATGCAGAGAGAGAGAGAGAGAGAGAGAGAGATAAACAATCAAGTTCTGTATTTGTTTGCCTTCAAATCTGTATCCTAAATGCATATATTTAATAAGAGCAGGTCAGGTAGCTATATTGGCAATGCTCAGTAAAATGGTGGGGCAACTATTCAAGTAGCTTGTTGTGAAGTACTTGGAATTCATTTCATTTCCTTTTCTTTTCTTGAAAACCGAATGGGACATTCGCCGTTTGTTTTGGTGGATACATTTTCCGACAAGAAATATTTTTCATGATTTTTTATTTTATTTTTTATAATTGGTTATGTTAGTGATGGCGCTGGTGGTGGCAGGGTGGAGGAAATTTGTCAGGGAGTTGAATAAAATAAAAATAAAAACCAAACTGCTAGAGTCTCTTTGTGGCTATGAACCAGCAATGCTAGGAACACATTGGACTAAATGCAAAATAGACATTTGTGCATTTAGGCCCGTTTGTTTTGGGGGTGAAAAGGATGGGAGAAAATTAGGATGGGGGTGGGGTTATTAGTGTTGTATTTGTTTATAGAGTTGGGGAAGAGATTAAGATGGAGGAAGGGATTAAGATGGATGTTGGAAGGGAGATTGGGATGGAGGAGGTGGAAACGGTATTAGAAAAATAGTGAGGGGATTAGAAATTTTTTAATTTTTTTTTAATTTTTCACATATTGGGAATTTTTTTTTTAAAACATATTAATGTTTAATTTTTTATATTTTTTTATTTGTTTTATTATTTTATATAAAAATAATTTAACAATTCCTACACTAACAACTATCATCAAAATAAACACAATTTTATTTAATCCCCTCACAACAATCCCCTCATTATTAATTCCCTCACTATAAATCCTTTCCATTCTATCTCTGAAAACAAACGGGACCTTAGGCTTATTGGCTACGAATTGGTTCCAGTTGCTTGTGCAGAACTTGCACAGGGCTAAAAAAGGTTTTTCTCCATAGTTGAAATCATTCTTGTTTGAACTTGCATCTAAATACTGATCAATATTTGGTCAAGTGCTGCAGAATTGAGGCATGCAATTTCAATTACATCAGATTCAAGTGTACATCATCAGAACCTTATTTCATCTTCAATATCTCAGGCTGGAAGGATAGGTGTGTAGGGATCACCTCTAGGTACTAAAAATGGTAGCCCAAACTGATGGAGGCCTTTTCCAAATAACTTGTATTATTAGCTCATGGGTTGGGTTCTTTTTTCATTTCTTTGGGTGTAGAATAATTTTTTAAACTGGCCCTTCTGAAAAAAAAAAAAAAAAAAAAAAAAAATAAAAAAAAAAAAAAAACTTGAGAAGTGGTACAAATCCACAATCTAGACCCACAAATTTATATATAGTGGGTGTTTGGGAAGTTACTATTTTGATAGGTTATTTTAATTTTTGACTATTTTAGTAGCCTAAATTTTTGTATTTAAAAAGATAGTTGAATTTTTTTGTAGTTGGATGTGATATTTGTGAGAGGAAAAAGAGAAATGGTTATGGATTTAATGTGACATTTTGTCTTATTAACTATTTTAGTTTATTTTATCATTTTGTGGTTTTTAACCCAAAAAGCAAAAAATAGCCTTGCCAAACACCCCCTAATGATGTGGCAAGGGAGTTGGGTCTGGTTCTATATGATTGAGTGCGTGACAAATCCAATGTTGACACATCACATCATTGTGGATCTAATTGGGGAAGCTATTTTAAGAATCAGTTTACGCACACCTTGATTAATCCCGAGACCAATTACACCACCCACTTCCGGAAATCCATTCCAAGTTAGTGCAAACGCCTTGTATGAATTGGCCCTAAAGAGATTATTAGGGTTGCTGAGTATTGAATCTAAGACTTGCAGGGTGCACACCCCAAACCCTAAGGTGTTATTTGGCAATAGGTTTTTATAGTTAGTTTTTTGGCTATTTTAACTTAGGACCAAAAATTAATTTGGCTTGGCTTCTTTAGCTTTTTTGAGTTTTGTGAGAAAAATGGTGAAATAATTATAGTTTATATGTGACATTTTATCTTATTAAATTGAAGGCCTTATCGGCCACAGAACCTGGAATTGATTGCGTAATTGTGATTGGCATAATTTTTAAAGCCTACGGTGAAATTTAATTAAAAATTGATTCAAATCAGATTAAACTGATTTAATTAAGGAATTTGTGCCCAATTACTTTAATATTATTATAATGGAATTAGTGGAAATTGTTGTATAAGGGCACCACACCCTCAAGTCTCCTCTTTTGTTGCATTTTTGCTTATCATAAACACAAAGAAAGAAGAGAGGGTCGGCTTAGAGAGAGAGTGTGTGTAGGAGATTGAGGTTTTGGTCTTGAGGCTTGGAGATTTTGGAAGATTACTCAAGAATTTGCTATAGATTGGAAGAATTGAGCCTCTAGGTAAGTGAATCCATGAGTTTAATGTGTAATTTTGTGTATTCAAAGTGGATTAATGATCAAGAGTAAGGATTGAAGTGTAACTGAATTGGTTTTGTTGAATTAAGAGCCAATATGTGCATGCATGTAAGAAATTGTTTTGAATTTGCATGTTTGAGCTTGAAATACATGATTCATGTAGAGTTTTGGTTAAACCTCATGTTATGATCACCATTTGTATCATCTAAGTTGAGAATGAGAGTAATACATCGCATGCATGTACAATTTATGAGGATAGGAGCTTTGAATACATGAATGTGTTATGATGAAAATGAGTTTGGTGTAATTTGAGCCATGCATGTGATTATTTTGTGAAATTGAGCTCCATTATGTTGTAATTTAGTGTTTGTACCATGTTAATACACGAATATGTGAAGTTTGAGCTGAGATTATGAGCTTGGAACCTTTGGAGGTCGTTTTGAGCTCAAGAACATATTTTGGAAAACCCAGAAATTTGATGTCCGCCGCTCGAGCGTGAATTTCATGCTCCTAGCATTTTCTGCAGACCATGATGTCCGCTCGAGCGGGGAAGTCCACGCTCGAATGGGGAGCTATGTAGGATGGACTTCCGCTCGAGCGTCCAAGTTCCACGCTCGAGCGTAAAAATGACATAACCAGTACTTTTGCGGACCTCATGGGTCCGCTCGAGCGAGTAAGTCCACGCTCGAGCGGGGACCTGGTTTTCTGAAATTTTGTTTATGCATTTTGTGTTTCGTTTTCCGTCCTCATTCACTTGTAAGCACTCTTAGGCATGCATTGAGCATTGTAATTGAGTTAATGAGACAAGAATGAAGCCTAAAGAGGAAAATGTGAATTTAGAACGGATCGAATTGTTTGTGACCCTTTTGTGTTCATGGAATGTGTAGGGTCGAGCTCCAGGGAGAACCAACCAACCGATCACTGTGAGTAATATCGATATTTGAAACTTGTCATTTGTCCAATTGCTTATTTCCTTATAAGCCTTATGAGTCTGCCAGTTTGAATTATGGACAAATGTTTGATATGAATAAAAGGATAGGCCAAAGGCCGTTTTGACATGAATAGATGGGCCAAAGGTCGTTTTGACATAAGTGAATGGGCCAGAGGCCGTTTTGACATGAGTGAATGGGCTAGAGGCCGTTTTGATATGAATGAATGGGTCAGAGGCCGTTTTGACAGGAATGAAAGATAAATGGGCCAAAGGCCAGTATGTTGAAACCACAGTCACTTGACTTAAATTGTGTATATAAATGTTACATAAAAATGTGAATTAGGCCCAAGGCCGTTCGGAGTATGTTGTTTTACATATCGTTTGTATCTTCTTATTTGATATTATTCACTGGGCTATCACTCGCGCTCATTCATGTAACAACCCTCACCACTGTTTACCGATAAACTACCGATTACTGCTAAACTAAGACTGATTATGATTGGTAATTGAACTGATTGAAATACTGGATTGATTGACCGGAATCTGAAACTGAATTGATTAAGTGTATTTGTTATATTGCATTTCTATCTGTTGCCTGTTTGATTATTTGTTCATGTTTTATGTTTAAATTGCCAAATTGAAGGCCTTATCAGCGGCCGAACCAGAAATTGATTGATGTTTTACGATCATCATAATTTATGTGATTTTATGGTGTATTTATCTGAAATTCGATTTGGTATGGTTAAATTAGATTAATTAAGGTTGAATTGCATCGTTAGGCTTATTTACCAACTTGCCCTATTAGTGGACCACTATCTTGCATCTATTTGAGCCTTTATACACTCAAACAAACATTTTCATCAGCCTATTTTCTTGAGAGCAACCGACCAAGAGAGAGTGAGGGAGAGAATTGCATTGTCCTTGTTGATTTGTTTAGAAACTTGAAGGGATTGAAGGCTGATTTCAAAATTGTGCTTCCATTCTTGAACTACAAGACCTAAGGTAGTGTAACTACCCTCTTGTTTGTGAATTCAATGGATTCTTGCATGGTTTTAGAGCAAGTTGAAGTCTAAAGCCAAGCTATGGCTCTTAATTGTTGAATTATAGCTTAATTCATGCATGCATGCCTATATTATTGAATTTTGAGTTGATTCCATGGAAAATTGTCACATGCATGCTCATATTTATGTTAAGTCCATGAATTCATCTTGTCTTTGAAGATATTAGCTCAATAGAGCATGTATTTGAGGCTTGTAAGTTGTTTAACTTCATGCATGTTGCATGTTCATCTTGTTCATGAAAATTGGTTTGAAACTGGGTTTAATTCCCTCACCTTTGGGCCTTGATTTTACAAATTGAGCTTTGAATCATGTTAAACTATGAGTTTTGAAGTGTTTTCCAGGAAATGGGCCCAAAGGAATCGAATTTGATACATTTGTAGTTGAATTTGAGCTTGAGGTTCAAATCTGGGAATTCCAGATTTTGAACTCATGCTCGAGCGGGGTGACTGGCGCTCGAGCATGGAAATCGTGCTCCCAGCATTTTATTCTATTTTTAAGTCAGCTCGAGCGGGACCTTGTGTTTTACGCTCGAGCAGGTGTCGAGTGCCCAATCGAGCGTGAATTTCACCTATCCAACACTTTTGACTGTTTTGAAGTACGCTCGAGCGGTTTAGTCTAAGCTCGAGCGAAAACCTTTATCTGCATGTCTGCTCGAGCAGATTAACCTACGCTCGAGCGGGACCCCTATTTTCTGAAAATGCTTTTAAAGTGCATCTTTGC